CCTCCACCAAAGATGACTTTTACCTCCATCCTTGGCTTTTTCCCCGGGTTTCCGGACCCCTCAGCCTCCTCTAAAGGGGGGAGGTATGAATCATTACTTGGCTCTGCATCCCGCTGGACATTCCGTTTCCAGCTATTGGATCGGGGAGGACGCTGGTTGGGGAAAGGGCTGTTCAGGTTGGTGCTGACATACTTCTTCAGGTAGCCCTTTTGGATCAGGTCCTCAATTGCCACATGTAGGGCGTGACAATCCTTTGTGAAGTGCCCATTGCGTTGGTGGTATCTACAATAGGCATTCGGGGTAGGTCCCATCACGGGCCTTGTGTCAGTAGGGGGAGGAATGGCATTATGTTCCAAATGAAAAACACCGGCTATCGACATGACCAGGGGGGTGAAGCGCGCAGTCCTTCGATGAGGTGCTGCTGCTGCCGGTGCGGGTCCCAAACGTTCTGCCAGTCTTGAAGTGGGAGGCTGTGGGGCCGTTCGGTCCCTTATCTTGATCTCCTCCTCCAGGGCCGCATGACCCCTGGCCCTTTCCAGGATGTCTGGGTAGCTGGTTCCCGGATTCCTCTTCAGCTCCCTGTATAAATCCCCCGTCTGAAGGGCATCAGTGAAAAGAAGGATGGCAGTCTCATCCGTCATGCCGGTCACCTTCAGGGTCTCGGTCCTCCACCTGGTCAGGAATCCGGAAATTGATTCCTTCGGTCCCTGCCTCACACTGGTCAGATACCCGAAATGTAGTTTCGGGGTTGTGCTGGAGGCGAACTGGGCTAGGAATAAGGTGGATAGCTCCGCAAAGCTCCCGATCGATCCGGGTTGTAATGTTCCGAACCATTCCTGGGCAGGTCCCCGAAGGGTGCTGAAAAACAGTCTGCATATTGCTGCGTCGGTGGCCCCTAATAGCATGAGGCCACCCTGGTAACTCCTCAGGTGTACGTGAGGATCTCCCACCCCATCGTACGTTAAGCCGGTCGAGGGACGGCAGTCCCTCAGGATCTCGGCATTCATGATTTCCCTGGTAAAGGGAGACGTAATCCCAACCCGTGGTGGCGGGGTTTGTTGGGGCGTCCGATTGACCTGTTCTTTGAGCTCGGTCATCTGTCTTCTCATTTCGGCCATTTCGTCGTCTTGGGCCGTTCGGGGAATATGGGGTATCCTAGCGTCCACATATTCCGGCATTCTGTTTTGGGGAGGGGCAGCTGTGTTAGCTCTCCTCCGGATGAAGCGTTCCCCATCCCTCTGGATATACTGGAAGTGCTGTCCAACGGGGTCCACCATGGGGGTGGGTTCCCTATATCCGTTCCGCGGTGCGGACGGGGTTCGGCTGGTTGGTGCTTCACGTCTGGGAGCATGGGCCCTCCAGTGGTTCCTTCGGTGTTCCTCGGAATGAACTGAGGCCATAGTGGTCTCAATGTCCTCCTCTTCGTTGAATGACGGTATGAAGTGTACCGGGGATGATGGCTCACGAGTTTCATCGGTGTAGCCCTGTTCCTGTTCATCCGCCATGTGTTGCATGGCCTCTGCCATTTCCCTCATCAACTGAGGGTTCATCCTTACGTCCGGAGGTATGATCTGCTCGAACTCCCGGGTGGCACTGCCACTGGCGTGCCCTTGCATGGACCACCCTTCAGAGGATCTATTGCCTCCACGGCCCCTGGACGTAGAACTCGGTGTTGCGGTATGAAGCCTAGCCATTCCTAGACAAATGGTGCTTAGACCAGTGATTTTCCTTGGACTTTTAGTTTCGTTTCCCACAGACGGCGCCAATGTTGAAGTTTGTTCCCGAAGATCCGAAAGCCCAACACAAGCCTTGGATATTGTAGGGATATTGGGTAGGGTTGAAATGTGTATAAAATATAAAATAGTGAGATAATATTCAACTCGAGAGCTTACCTATATTCTGTGATTAAGCAATTACACTGGAACTACCCGAACGGTAGATGAATATGAGATTACAAGGATGGGAGATGTAAATCTATTGCTAAGCTCTGAGTATTAAAATGCTAACCCTTTACAATGATTTAAACATGGGTATTTATACTAAAATAGGGATGGGTGAGGTAGACACGTGGCCAAATCCGGTAGGCTGTCACTTCTGCCATGTATGCACCCATGCCCCCACTTGCTGCCGTCATGATCCAGCATTAAATGCGGCCTCCACTTGCTGATTGCCCGCTCGGGCAGGGTGTTCGGTGTGTGGGACCCCGTCATAGGTGCTATCCTGCTTATGGACATATCCCGAACGCCGATCGGTATCTGGGCATTGGCACCTTGATGTAATTGTTTCCCGGAATGTTCCAAGTACAAGTTTTATCCCGAATGCCGTTCGGGAGTTCTTTGGACTGCCTTGGGCCCGCTGCTTCTTCCCGGATTTGGGCCTAGGGATATTGGGCCTGGACCAAATATCCCAACATACACTTTTATGATTGGGACCGAGATATGAGTCACTAGTAGGACCCGTTACCTTGTTTCCTGAAGGGCTCACTTTTGACTCATTAGGCACGAAATTGGTTCATCAAGAGGCACACTTACGCTATCAACAATCTTTGGAGACTCAAGCTACTACTCCGGCGTTTGCGGTGTCGTCCTCGACATGGGGTGGATCAGCAGCATCTTCCTCGGCCGGACAGCAGCCGCCGCAACCCAACAGAGGCGGTCGTAGCGGACAGCGCGGCAACCGAGCCCGGGGGCATGGCCGCGGCAGGTACCAGCAGCAGCCGCAGGGGTACGGTCCCGCCTACTTCGATCATGGTCAGCATGCTCGCAACAAAAATATTGACATAGATTATCATTTTGTCCGGGAGCGTGTTTCGCATGGAGACCTGGTAGTACGCTATGTTCCTACTTAGTTTCAGCTAGCTCATATCTTCACCAAGTGCTTATCTCCTCAGCGGTTTATTTTTCTTAGGGACAATCTACGTGTTGTTTCCGCTGCACAGATTGATGGGGTGTAATAATGTATTGATTATTTAAAATAGGGTTTTCATACTTTGTTAGTTTCTTATTGTATTCACTACACTTATTCTATTATATATATGACATCCAGGGCTACCAATTGGGTAAGCCATTCCATTATTCTCACAATATGGAGTTCGGTATACATAACAAAACGATATTTCATTATTTTGACTTAGTATCATTATCACGGATTGCGATCGTCTCCCCGACTAGGAGAGTTGCCTTATGCAACGGACGGTCGGATGGGAAGAAAAGAGTCTCGAGATACGCGAAAAAGTGGATTCCAATAATCTCCGACCATTGAGCTCTCGATCTGACAGTAGCCCTCGGCCAGGCACCCTACCATGCTGCTAGAGCAAGGCAGAGACCCCGAATCCTCTAAAGGTGTATAACTACAACGCCTAAGAACGGCTAAACTCGCATAATCTTATTCCCCTTACTATATGAACTATTGAGTGATTTATGATGTAAAAAAACGAAATGGATAGTGATTAGTGATTTATTGAGGATGTTTGGCTTCAAAGTAGGCCTACCTTGTCTTTTACTCTTTTTAAGTGCACATTTCAACTAGGGCCGGTCCTGTCCAATTTTGGGTCTATGGGCGGTATACTATTTTGGCCTTATTTTCAAAACATACCGTAAATTATACTTACTTAAAGTAAAAATTATGGAGTATAATAAACTATGGGAAACTACTCTAAATAGGACTAAAAACGTTTGTATATTCAAAAGTAAGATTATCATGTTTTTATTCCCTAAATAGAAGTAATCACTGTCATATTTTGACAGTATCATACTTTACACATGGTAGTATATTCCGAACATGACAATAATTACTCATATTCAGAAACTAAACACATGACAGTCTTATTTTGAAATTCTAAAAAAAAACTCCTATTTAAGGAATTCTCCCAACAACTATCTAATAAACGTTATAAAATAAAGATGAAAGTCACCTTCATATTATTTGAATTATATTACATATATGGACAAAAGTAACAACACAAGTATCACAAAAGAACAATGTGAAGTAAAATCATCAATAATTGCTTATCAATCTTTTCCAAGATGACATGTGCAATGTTTAAAATTGCTAATCCATTAAGTTTTTTGAGGCATAATAGATGATTGGGATGATGTTTGAGAATTGGGAGGCACTGGCAGCACAAAGACAATAATATAAATCAGTAATTTGTAATTAAAAAAATAAAAAGTCTTAAAGGTTAAAAAGATGTAAAGAGACGTGTTTTTATTGATTTAACAACAAATGTGTTGACTTACACCAAACTCTATTTAAAATCAAAACAAAATCTATATTCTTTTTTTAAACTTGTCTAGCTCCGTTCAAGATTTTTTACTTATGTTTTAAAATTTTCAAATTGTCAACAAAAATTACACATTAGACCTAATTATATTTGAAATTATAAATAAAAAAGAAGCATACTCAGATTACACATAAAGAAAAAAAATTGGGCCTAATTTTTTTTCTACTTTTTCTTGGGCCTAGGGCGGTCGCCCCTGCTGCCCTCCCCCTAGGACCGGCCCTGATTTCAACCATATCAAAACACATGCATTCTTTTATCTTAAGAGAAATGTTCCTATTCAATCTGAACAAGTCTTCTACAGTATTGTTTTTAACTAGATTGACATATTGTACTAAATAACGATTTTGATGTACATTTAGTAAAGTTTGAGCTACAATATATTTAGTGGGTAATGGTCACATGTCTAACTCTACATTTGTCCATAAATGTTTCGATAACATGAGCGTTGAGGCGGTCCCTATTGCCGTCTAGGACCAAGTGACCAGATTAATTTTTGCCCAAGACCATTTGCCCTCGTGAAAGTGAGGAAGATAGCCGGGTCATGGGCTGGGCTGTGAACAAAGGCAGCGTAGCAGGCTGGTAGGCTATTCGGTGAGAACGGGCAGTCCAGGGTGGCGTTCGGAGGTGGGGTGGGGGCAGTGGGTCTGGGGGGCAAAGTGGGGTCCGGGGCAGACGCAAAGCAGTATATTAGAATAGGCCAGTAGGAAAAAAAAGGTCAGTACAAAGTATATTTTTGGGAAAAAATTTACACAATTTTTTTTACCTTAATAATTTAAACAAAATTGAAATTTGAAGTGCCCCTCTCAAGCTACGCCCCTGGCGGGCTAGGCTTGGCTGCTCACTTGGTCAATCTAGTGCGGGGGCCGGGGCCGGTGGGTTCGGAGGCGGAAGTAAAAACTTGTCGGGTTAATAAGACCCGGCGGAAACCATTCTAATCTCATTTTTTATAGGTCACAAACTTCCAAAGGGGACAATGCCTTCGTTAAAAAATGACGTTTTGCACAACGAACAGCCAAAGTCTCCAAACCTGAAAATCAAACCAGAATATACCCGACTCTTCATTTCCTAGGATTAAAGCCTGCTAATTCGTGATTGAAATCAAAAAGGAAAAAAACACCCGTCCAATAGCAATATCTGTCTGGAAAATCAAATTTGAATGACCATAGTAATATACGGAGTAGGTGTCCATGCCAAGTGCGCCAAACTCCAAGAGCTATCCATCCCAGCTATCTTTCCATGCTGCTGAAATCTGCAACGACACCACTCAGAGCTACAAGCAAGAGCAGAGCTGCAGAACAGAGCTGCTTAGGGAGTGTTTGCAACTGCTTCTGCTTAAAAAAAGTACTTTTGGAGAAGTAATGAAAAAGTGATTGATAGTAAAAGTTGATAGTGTTTGAGAAAAAAGTGATTTTGAAAAGTAAAAGTTGGTAGTGTTTGGTAAAATAAGTGCTTTTTGTGTAATAGAAAAGGGAAAAGCACTTTTCACACGCAAGCCGAGAAAAAGTAAAAATTGGTAGTGTTTGGTAAATAAGTGCTTTTTAAAGCCAAAAGCTGAGAAGTGCTTTTTTTTAAGCAGTTGCAAACACTCCCTTAGCACTCCTCCAACTCTGCAATTCCCTTCCCAAACTCTCTCAATTGTACACCCACATCCTCAAGCTAGGCCTTCGGTCTAACCCTCTTGTCCTCACCAAATTTGCCTCAGTTTCCTCTGACCTTGGCGCCATAAACTGCGCTTCAGCCTTCATCTTCAGCCCAGATACGGAATCCCATATCTTCGATACCTTTCTTTTCAACACTGTGATCAGAGGCTTCGCTCAAACCCGTGGCTCTACTCACAATGCTGTGCTATACTACCAGAAAATGCGTAATCTTGAAGTTCCGCCTAATAAGTTTACCTTCCCGTTTGTTCTTAAGGCCTGCGCGGGCATTGGGGACTTGAAGCTTGGCGAATCGGTTCATGGGTTACTGGTGAAGTTTGGGTTTGATGATGATAGGAATGTTCTGAACACTATGGTTCACATGTACTGTTGCTGTGGTAGTGGGATTGAGTACGGCCGCAAGGTGTTTGATGAAATGAATGACTGGGACTCGGTTGGTTGGAGTGCGATGATAGGTGGGTATTCACGCTGGGGTATGTGCAGCGAGGCAATTGGCTTATTCAGGAAGATGCAAATGGCAGGGGTGAAGCCTGATGAGATCACAATGGTCTCTGTCTTGTCCGCATGCAGGGAATTGGGAGCTCTTGAGCTCGGGAAGTGGCTCGAGGAGTATATAGAGAGGGAAAAACTTCAGAAAAGCACTGAGCTTTGCAATGCTCTCATTGATATGTTTGCAAAGTGCGGGGATGTTGATAAGTCGTTGAGTTTGTTTTCTCGAATGGGCAAGAAGAACGTCGTGTCCTGGACATCTGTGATAGACGGATTGGCAATGCATGGTCGGGGCTCTGAGGCAGTTTCATTGTTTGAAAAGATGAGAAGTACTGGAATCACACCAGATGGAGTTTCTTTCACTGGGTTGCTTACTGCTTGTAGCCATTCAGGATTGGTTGAAGATGGTAGGAAGTATTTTACCGCAATGACAAAGGAATTCGGCATAACCCCCAAAATAGAACACTATGGATGCATGGTTGATCTCTTCTGCCGGGGTGGGCTTGTTAAGGAAGCATTACGATTTGTTGAGAGAATGCCCATTGAGCCGAACGCGGTCATTTTGCGCACCTTAGTTGCTGCTTGCCGTTCTCACGGGGAGCTAAAACTCGGAGAACAGATAACCAGAGAGTTGATCAAAGATGAACCAATGGAGAACTCAAATTATGTACTCCTCTCCAATATTTACGCGAAAATGATGAACTGGGAGAAGAAAACCATGGTTAGAGAGGAGATGTTGAAGAAGGGAGTGAATAAGACTCCAGGGAGCACGATGCTTGAGCTTGGCACTGAAATATATGAATTTGTTGCTGGAGATAAAAGCCATAGTAAGTATGAAGAGATTTATGAGATGCTGGATGATATGGGAAAACAAATCAAGAAGGCTGGGTATGTAGCATCAACATTAGAAGTGCTGCTTGATATTGATGAAGAAGATAAGGAGGATGCTTTGAATAGGCATAGTGAAAAACTGGCTATTGCTTTTGCGCTGTTGAAGACTCCGCCTCTAACTCCCATACGCATTGTGAAGAACTTGCGTGTTTGTGAGGATTGTCATTCAGCCACTAAGTTCATTTCTTTGGTTTATAAGCGTGAAATTTTGGTGCGGGACAGGAACCGTTTTCACCATTTCAGAGAGGGCAAATGTTCCTGTAAAGACTTCTGGTAGCCTGGTAGGTAATGCAGTGTTTATACAAGATTGCAGTGCACAGGTCCAGATATTTATACGTAAAACTCAAACACTTGAGAATTTTTGTTTTATATTTTTGGAGAACACTAAACTAATTTATAGTTCATGGGTCATCGTGAAATAGTCTCTCTGTACTTTGGCACAGGGGTAAGGTTGCATACATCCGACCCCCCCCCCTTACCCCACCGTAGTGAGGCATTTGCGGCAGTGGGGTAATGTCGTCGTTGTTGTTGTACTAAACTAATTTATAGTATCTGTTGAGTGATACTCTCAACCTTGATTTTGATGGGGTTTGAACATCTGACATCGGCTTTGTAAGATAACATTGATGTTATTCGACCAGAAGGGGCTTGACAATAGTTGCTTTATTTTTATTTTTTAAAGCTTAATGTTTTTTTGGGTTTTTATTCTTGCTGGGTTTAAGACAGATTCTTGGTCTCTTTTCTTTGGTGTAATAGTCATGGTGTGATTGGAAAATTTTCAAGTGAATATCACTTTCCTTTCTACCAATTTAAAATGTAAAAAGAGGGCAATTCCATTCAAATCTGGTTGGTGTCTGCTTCTCCCCAACGTCTGAGAATCTGGTCACCTATTAACTGCGGCCTCATTGCTGGTTGAGTTTGTTTCTCAAACAGACCTTGCAGGCGCTGGTTCTGATGTGCACATGTCTCTTTCTTACTTGAAGAAGATGATACAGGATAACATGGTTCTCATGCTCTGGTGTTGTTGACATGAGGCAGTTCTCTCTAGATTTTCAGTGAGGCAGAATGTTTTGCAGCTAGTAGTGAGGGCTGAGAATTGTGATGGAACCATTTCTATCCGTTGGAGCTACGCACAGGCCCTTATGGTAATATGGTTGTTACTGTGGCCTATCACTCGGCTCTATGCCTCTATCCTAAGAAGGCTAAGGCAACTACTGTTACTTAATTGAGTTTAAGAAATAATTAAATATTTATGACTAAAATAAATGTTCTTTACAAAAATGGGATCTCTTAAGTGTAGTGATTACAATAGTAACTTGAATCATAGTTACTTATGCTCAATGTTTATACTTAAATAACCATCTTAGTATACTCATAGTAACTTTTGTTATAGTTTTACAAATCAGTAATATTTTTCTTAAAACCTCTAAATTTTGGGATTGCTAAACAAATCACCTACATGTTGAAGCCTTAACTGCTCGAGTGACTTGAGTGATAATAATAATTGCTAAAAATGATAGTAACAACAACAATAATAATAATCATAATCATAATCTTATCTTAAAAACTTATAATTGTCAATGAAGGTAAGGGTATCTTAGGGATGAAAAAAATGTTGGTGTAATCATTTGCCTTTATTAGGTGGTACAGTGTGTTTTAGGATGTGTACTCTCTCAACGGGATTTATTTTTCCGTTTAATAGACTCCCGTCTAATCTAACGTCTGTTATATAGCTTCTACGACATCTGCTTGTTTCGTCTCTGAGCTGCCACAATGCCACTCGCCCTGGTATCACGCTTGTTTTCTACCACACACTAACGATTTCCAATACCGACACATAGCAACGCCGAACCTACCCAAAAGCACCGAGCACCGAGCCAACTAACGGTGCACACCCTTGGTCCCCACCATCACCACCAACATGAAGACGAGGTCATGAAACGTTCGCCGGAAAATGGCCATGACATGAACTCCGAAAATTTCAACCATAGGAGCCGTGACAGCGGAGAAAGGCGGAGGAGGCGGAGGGGCACGACCATGAAAAGAAGGAAAGCTATATCCAGAAGCAATTCCGCAAAATGTTGAATCAATGCTTCTGAATTTGAAAGAAGAATGCCAATTTCTTCTTTGCTTCATCGGTGCGCATCAATTTTTGGATTTGAATTAATCTTCATTTTATGTTGCTTGTTCATACAAGTAGTTTGTAAATAAAAAATCGCATCCGTGTGTGATGTAGATGATAGAAGAAGAAATTGACAAATGTATATATACACTCCGCATTTAGGAGCCAGCCATGGAAATAATAATGCACACTATAAAGTACTCCCTCTGTCCCAATTTGTTCTGCAAAATCAATATTTTTTGGTCAACTAAAAATAAAAGTCAACCCTTCTTATGCATAATTAATTTAATTTTTAATAAATAAAATTTACATATTCATAAACTACATCAAAATCTCTTTAAAGTTGTAAACTCCAAATTAGAATATAATTAAAAATTGGCATCCTAATTAAGTGAACAAAACGCAACTGTTTGACCAAGAAAAATCAAATTTGCAAATCAATTCGGGACGGAGGTAGTATAAACTTTTCCCATGTAAACAAAAAAAATAATGCAGGTTATAGGGGGTGTTTGGATCTGATTCTCAAAACCGATTCTGCTCCTTCAGGGAGCAGAAACAGAAGCTGGAGTGTTTGGGTGAAATTTCAGAAGCACTTCTGGAGCTCTAATTTACTCTCAGGAATCAGTTTTTGTAGAAACTGGGGGGTACCAGCTTCTGAAAACTGATTTTGATTTTGCTTCTGCTTTTAAAAAAGAAGCAGAAGCAGAATCAGATCCAAACACCCCCATAATCATCATATTTAGAATCTGTTTGGTGTTAATAGTCCTTTAATACTGCTTGTTATTGTCACATGCAATTACAACAAGAACATCTTTGAGTCATTTCTATGTATAGATTATAAGTTGTTTGTCATATATAAAATGATTCTAAAAGGTTACAACCTAATTTAGTAAAGATCATAGTAGGCTGTGAAAGTGGTAGGGATTTATATTAAATGTTTTAGCTTTGTGTTAGCTGTTTGCAAGTGTTCGATATAGTAAAAACTAATTTATCATTTGTTAATTCTTTAATTACGAGAATTTTGTTATTAGAAGTTACCTCTCTGATATAGTACTAGAGATGGTAGTGCATAGAGTCATTTTAAACACCTAAAGGAAATTTGAATTAGATAAAAAAAAAAGTGGTACTGCTGATGCTAATTTATAATCAACATGATGTTGGAGACAACTGCAAAATGTGAGTTACATATCAAGTGCCATGATGGTACCAAGGAAAATGCTAAACGTACATACATTGTACACATAGTGTACATGGTATAAATACCTTTTTAACTTTTATCCTTCTCCATTCCTCTTTTTTTTTTTACCTTTCTCTCAACCCATTACCTTCCCCTTCCTCTCTCTTCACTCTCCCATACGCACAACCCCCCACCTCTCTTCATACATTTTCTTCAATTTCAACAATCTTCAAAATTCCTTCAACCCAACTTCAAATATGGATACCTACCAGTGCTTCTACTCCTCCACCGAGGAGCCGTTCGCAGCGAGAAGTAAGGACTGCCGTGAACAGTGTGATGTCACATAGAATAGAAAGGGGTCTTCAACCCGATTTTATGCCGATCTCCTTCTCCTTTCTCTTCCGGTTAGAACATCGTGGATTGGCTTTATAATAAGTAGTACTATCCTTCATCGGCAAAATTATGGATATTAGGGTAATAATCTACTCCCAGTTTTTGTGTTCATATAGAGTTGTGATTTTTCTGAAGTTTTAGTAAATTATGTATGTTGTGTTTAATTCTTTGGCTATTTCATTTCATTATTGTAAGTTTGTGATATTAACTACTAAAATTATAGTTGAAATATTGCATTTCTTTTGTATGCCCATTGCATGTTTGTTAAAGTGCTTGAGTGAATTCTTTTATTCATATTGATTGTTTAAGATGGTTTTTCTCCTTTTATTCATATCAATCGTTGAAATTACAATTTTTTCGGTTTTATTCATATTGATTGAAATTACGATTGTGAACTCATGACTATTTTGTGATATAAACCATTGAAATTGAAATTATAGTCTACCTATTACGTAGTATATTTCATTTGTATGCCTATTACAAATTTACAATCCTCTTCAGGTATATTTTCCTTGACTTCCTTAATTCATACTAACACACACACACACATATGAGTCAGTGTTCTTTTTCATTGATTCTGGTAGTAGGATAGGGAAATAAAAGTTGCCCAGTGCTTGAGCTGCATGCTATTCTCAATAGATAAACCTGTAGTGGTATGATTGTGTTCTCCAATTTAGAGCCTTTTTACTACTTTGAAGATTAGTGATCAATTTTTCTCTTAAGTGTGTATATATACATACATTTATGCATGTGTGTGTGTGTTTCAATTGTATCATTGTTTGATAAAACTAGATAGAATATCAATTTGTAGCTATGTTGGAATATTTATGTAATTGTGTCGTACTGACTTGGTATAAAATTATAAACCAATATATACGAGTAACATTTAGGATGGAACCTATGCTTTAATATGATATTGAAATCACGTGTGGTTGTAGTCTAATTGTTAATTTGACTCCTATAAATTAGGGTAGTTCGTTTAGTTCCATTGCTAGCGTTGTTAGTGGCTAATGTGTTTTTATTCAATTCTGTATTTTACAGAAATCAGATTTTATTGCATGTGATTTGGTAGTTTTGACTTTATTGCCTTTGTTGCTATTAGGTTTACAATGAATCTGAATGAATGGTGTTGGTATTGTTTGTAATGCAGGTTCCTTTGAGCTTTTATATTCTTGTTGGTGGTTGTGCTAGGGTGATTTGGAATCCTATCTCACATGATCTTCCTTTGCCTGTTTGGACAAGAAATGTTATAAATCCAATGATGACTGCAATTTCAATTTTGAATGTCAAGGAGTTTAAAGGAGAAGTTAACTAAAACACAAAATCCAGTCAAGAGTTTGAATCTTCCTAGCCTGAAGAAACGTGTTAACTATAAAGATCATTGTTTTTGCACCGACTTGAAATTCCCAGTTAGAGATTAACTTTCTCATAGTTGTGGTGGTTCAAATAAGGAACAATGGGTATCATAGAAAGGTTTAAGGAAATTGAAGCTGAGTTGCAATCCTCAACTTGGGACCACAAACTTAAAGTGTGTTTAATATCTTACAATGTATGCCTCGGCTATGTAACTTTTTTCTTTTGCAGGGAGAATTAAGAACCACATGGTTGTGCTTTGGAAGCTTGGATGGATCATCCGCAAGACAAATGTGTTGATAACACATGCATTACTTTCAAACTTTGATGAAAAAACTTTGATCTACGAACTAAAGAAAAAGTTAGACTAGATGAATATACTTTATTGTATCAAACTTTGACCTTTTTGTAATTATAAGTTATAATTAGATGCATTTCTTGATTTTAGTTTTTTTACTCTGTTATTAGATTTTGCTCTTGATAGTTGGCACTTGGTCATATCCTCTTGTGATATTGTCTGTGAACCAGATGTGAGTGTCCGGCCACAAGCAATAGCTATCAGAGTGGGCTAATGTGCTACGCAGAGTTGCCTGTGAGTCAGACATGAAATGTCCGATTACAGACAATAGCCACTGCAATTGGAAAATGTGTTAAGTACAAATGTCTGTAAACCTGGTATGAAGTGTCTGGTCACTAGAATGGGTTAATGGGCTAATATGCTAAGTGGAATTGTCTGTGAAGTAGACATGAGGTGTCTAGTTACAGACAATAGCCACTTGAACGAACTAATGTATTATGTGAAAATGTCTGTGAACGTGATATGAAGTGTCTAGCCACAAACAATGGCCATTGAATTGGGCTAATGGGCTCATGTGCCAAGTGAAATTGTTTGTGAACCAGACATGAAATGTCTGGCCACAGGCAATAGCCACTGTAACAGGCAAATGTGCTAATTGGAATTGTCTGTAAACATGACATGAAGTGTCTGGTTACATATAACAGCCACTGAAACAAGTTAATCAGCTAAGTAAATCTATTTAATCGAGATACTTATTTTTATGTTGAAGCGGTTGAATTGATTGAATTGGCTGAATGAGTTGAATAAGTTATAATTGATGTTCTGTTTGAATAACTTATATTTGATGTTTTGGTTGAAGTGGTTGAATTGACTGAATTATGAAAAAATTAAAGACCTTATTTTGAATAAATTTTATTATTAAAATAAAGAAATAATTATATGAAAAAATAGCTGAAATTACATTCCAAAATAACTTTAATCAATACATGAATTTCACGAAGTATATTTTTTTCACAAGTCCTAACTCATTCGCTTCAACCAGAACATCAATTATAACTTATTCAACCAGAACATCAATTGCAACATATTCAACCATTTTAGTCAATTCAACCACTTCAACATGAAATTAAAAATCTCGTTTAAATAAACTCACTTGACAGATTAACTTGTTTCGGTGACTATTGTTTGTAACCAGGCATTTCATGTTGCGTTCACAGACAATTCCAATTAGCACATTTGTCTGTTCCAGTGGCTATTGCCTGTGACCGGACATTTCATGTTTGGTTCACAGTAAATCCACTTAATGGTAGCGCTGATGATAACATTAAGAAAATGAAGTAAAATTCTAGAAAGATAAGAGCAAAAGAAAAACTAATTGATGGAATTCCACATTTGCTGCTTAATTGCAATAAAATGGTTGAACTCTAAGACAGATCTTGAAATAGCTTGGCATTTAATTAAGAGCAAAACGTAACATCTTGAAGTGTAATAACTATTGAATTATAATTTGCACCAGTCTGTGCACAAAGACGGCTACAAATAGTTCTCAAGAGAATGAATATGCATAATACATGCATTAAACCGAATTACAAATGAAAAGAGAAATGTCTCTAACATCTCATGTGCTAAGTGAAATTTTCTGTAAACCAGACATGAAATGTCTGTCCACAGGCAATAGCCACTGGAACATGCAAATGTGCTAATTGGAATTGTTTGTGAAAGTGAATAAACAATTTACAAACAAAAGATACATATTTACAATGTCTTTGATTCTCAAGTGAAAAACAAGCATATTTACAAACAAAGTGTTCCATTACCAAGAACAAGCATCATTATTTACAACCCAAATGTCATATGCCCTCCAACATCTCAAATCTCAATGCTAGCTAATCTAAAAAAACAAGTATTATCATTTACAACCCAAATATCAACACATTCCAATGTCGACTAATCTAAGAGAAACTAATTCGAGATCATTCAATTCCATAAGATTTGATGAGCTCCACCTATGACTAAATTAGTTGGCATTCTTCAAAAGACCATCATCTTCAAAAGACCATCATGTTCCCTTCACCATGCCTTGTCAATTTCAAAGTGAACAAAAACTTCATTGAGTCATTTCAACAAACACGTTACGAACAAAAACAAACTAGAGTATTTACACTAAAATTGCAATAGTTAACTCTTCAAATCTCTTAAAATAAAACAATATAATCAATTATTTAATGTTATAACATATATAATATTCATGAAATCAAGGAAAGTATATAAATAACCCCTAAATTCACATGAGAAAAGGGAATAGATATTTACCTCAAGATTGATAGTTTGAGAAGAATGGTCGAGCCCAAAGACAAATTAAATGATGTATGATAGCATTTAAGTGGGAAGATGGATTGAAAATGAAGAAAAAGAAGGCATGGAGAAAGAGGATTACGTGAGAGGAGTTGAGGAGAAAGACGCAGAACAGAGAGAAGAGAAGGGGATAAGAGGGAGAGAAAGGGGGTAAAAAAAAGACTGAAATGGTAAAAATTAAGAGGTATTTATAGTGTGTACATCTTGTGTACACTTCATGTACCCCTAGCATGGTTGATGGTACCAATGTGTGCAACAAAACAATGAAAACACTACATATTTGACTATAATGACTGAGTCTTTTGAATAAAAGTTGTACGTACAAGGGTTACTATGGAACTCCAGGGGGCATCCTTTTTTTAACACGAAGGATTCAATCCAGCCAAAGGGGAACCTGTGGCTACCTTATCACGACCTGACTGAACGTAATCCCGCTGAAAGTATGAACGAAGAACATTGATAAATCCCATCAGGATTAGGGTGACAAATGATATTAAGTATGTTGTGCCCTTTTCACCCATTGATACATCAATATGATACTACGTATATTGTTAAAGTAACCTTTTTCAGCCATTGGTACGCACAAACAATGATATTAAGTACGTTGTTCCCTGTTCGGCCATTGATCCATCATGATGGTTTCAAATATAGAAATATAACACCTTAATTAACCCAAAAATACTAAAAAAACACATATTAGAAAATATGTAAAGGGTCAAATAGGCCTTCGAACTAACTTAAAAAGTGCAATTCATCACCCCTTATTTAGGAGGCTCTGTCCGGCCATCACCAATTGGAGCGGTTCCCGGTGGAAATTTTTGATGAATTATTTTGAGTATCTTCTTCATTAAGTTTAGTTTACCCATACCAAATTTCAGATAAAATTTCAACCGAGAAGACAATCAAATGATTTTCTGAAATGTACTTCGCTGTTTAACTGCGCAGTTAGTTGTGTTCCTCCCATTGTATTTCCTCTTCCATTGTCGAGATATGGCTTCAAGTGGAACTATTTGCTTCAATCAAACTATAAAATGTTGCTATATATGGGTTCTTGTTTGATTATTGTTCGAAATAACACTTATGTAAATACTTAGAAAATTGGAGACATAAGACATTACTCGTATATTACAATTTCAATTTGTAATGTAAAGTAACGGATTAGAAACTAAAATCAATCAAGGCATCCTCTTAAAAATAAAGAAACAGTTAAAAAAAATCTTCTTGAGTGATAGCAACGCGTTTTTGTTTTATATCAGATTATTAGTTATCATGTCTACTTTTTTCTTTTTGATGTATTCAATGAACTTCATGGTTTCACTCCACTTACTTTGAACATAAGGACATAAAAAGTCACTTGAACCATTCGTTGAAATTAGATGAAATGTTAGATGTTATACGAGTATCATTTGTTTTATCTACAAATCTGAAAGGAATGATATTTATATAGTTAGTTATTTTTTGTAAGACAGTGAATTTTACGGAGTATAATTTTACTTATGTCAAACATCTCCTCCAACTTTGTTGAATACTTCTTATACCTGCTTTTATTCAAAGAACCGTAACTTTCCATTATATTGGCTCTGAGTCACGGTCACTTTGCTCATTTGCACACTCCAAACATCATATCCTTTCTAATTAACCCTTTTTGTGTCTTGGTTTTTAAAATAAGTTGACATAGATTGTCCCAAAAGATAATATTGAAAATATAATATATTTAAATTTGTTATTAGACTGTAAAGTATTGGATTCCAATTTTTAATCATGTTTTAACTGGAAGCATATAAAATATTAGTTTTGTTAGTTGTATCCTAATATTATGCTTCCCGTTAGTCCAAGCAAGTCTGATCCAAGTAAGGTATATTTATGTAAAATAATGTCCAAAGACCTCTGAAAACTTGATCTTATGATAATAAAGTTGTATTTTTGATAATGTCTTGCATTCTTCTATGTGCGTCCGTATTGAAGAAGTGGAAGAAAGAATGGGATTACCTTATATTTTCAAGAAGTTGTCTCTGTTTCAACAACATAGCACATGGTCTTTATTTCTTTTTATTTTTCATTCACTTGATATTTATTAATCTTGGATAGTGCGGTCATTTTTTATTGCCATTTTTAGAGGTCAGCGACTAAATTAAATATAGTAGTAGCTTTGAATAATAAAAAGACATTTGGTTTTTCGAAATTCCATCTCCCCTAGTGATGTCTTTAAAGTGATTGGATAGAAAACAGTCACTCCACAAAATCATACATAGTGAATATGATATGTGTGTGTTTATATCCCTCTGTTTAATGTCATCGTTTTATTTTTCTCACCGCCAACATTGTTCTGAAATATGCCCTAAATGCTTACAGCCTGCAAGTGATGTTTACTTCTAACAAATGTTCTCTAAGTTGAAATAATATAATAGGTAAAATAACATTTTAAAATATGATTAATTAGTTGAATTTATTTGTTTAGTAAAGTGATATATGGAGTTTTTAGTAGAGTTAATAACCAAGAACATACGCTTTAATTGTTGTCCCTACATAATTGAAGTTGTAGAAAGAGCAATTTACTCTTCTTAGATTTATTAACCACTCACGGGTAAATGGATGGTGCTGAAATTGGCAAAAGAGGCCGAAGAACCTCTGATGCTCGGAGACCATGCCCGATCAAGCCTCCTGGACCTTTAATATATAATCATGTATATGAAGATTACTAATAATGTGGTGCTTCCTTTAAAATCTATATTACACTTATGATAAAAGTGTTTTTAAGTGTAATAGAAACATAGTACGCAAAAGATATGATAGAACCTT